GGCAATACTAACGAATAACAAGCTTGTATACTATATAAGACTAGAGAGTCACTCACTCATATTAAGGTTGGTCTTACATGTAGTGTGAGTTGATCTCACTAAACAAGTACTGCTAACTGGCTAAGCATGCAGTATTGAAAAGCGCCTTTGATTGTTCTACAATGGGCGCTTTCTTGGATTGAGTCTCAAAATGTTCACTCGTCAGTCAGAACAGGACAATTCTTATACATTCTTAATTTCATGTTTAACTTCATAAAAATAGACCAAATATGTTTTTAAGTAGACAGTACGTCAAACAATTACAATGAGATGCATTGCAGTGCAGTGATATCTTTATTTAAGAGCATCCAGTCTGCCCCAAACTTGTTAAAAAGAAAACTAATTTTTTTTTAAGTGTTTGTTTCAATTATATTTTCAATACAAGAGGCCCATGGGCCTTATAGGTCACCTGAGTAACATGTTACAACTTTACAACATTTGAATTTGGTTTGACTATTATAAACCAAAAGCCTTGAAATTCACCATTTTGAAAGAGGCACCATTGTTTATCATAACTATACACTTAGCATGCTTATTTTGGTAACTTAATACCCAAAGGCAGATCAGAGTAAGAGAGAAAATCATTAATGCATTTCCACTTTATAACCACCAGTTGTGCACATCAACCCAGAGGAACCACTGACCCTGGGGCCACATATTTCAAAATTTTGGAAATTTTATAAATGTCATTTCATCAGAAATTGGTGATAATATCAAAGAGAAGATTTCAAAGTATTACTTTATTTCAGACTATGTAACACCTCCCCCCCCCCCCCGCGTTTGCAGTACCCCTAACACAGGGGCCCTGAAATTAACCATTTTGGAAGAGGCACCTTTCTTCATCATAAATTTATACTTAGATCATTGGCATTATACCAAGGGGCAAATGAAAAAATTTCCGAATAATTCATGCATTTTCACAATATAATCATTATAGAGCCCCACCCTAACACCAGAACCCCTGACCCAGGGGTCATGAAATTCACAAATTGGGAAGAAGCATCCTTCCTCATCATAACTAACTACATGTATGTACATAGTTCACTGGTTTTATACCCAGGAGCATAGGAGAAGATTTTTAAAGAATTTATGCGTTTTCACTATATAATCAACAGAGCCCCGCCCTAACACGAGAACCCCTGACCCTGGGGCCGTGAAATCCACAATTTTGGAAGAGGCAGACTTATTCAATATAACCATGTACTTGGTTGGCTTATTTCATACCCAGGAGAAGAGAAGATTTTTTTAAAGAATTAATGTATTTTCACTATATAAACAATTAAAGAGCCCCACCCTAACACCAGAACCCCTCACCCATGGGCTATGAAATTCACAGTTTTGGAAGAGGCATTCTCGTCATCATAACTATGTACTTAGTTTGTTTCTTTAATACCTAGGAGCAGAGAAAATGATTTTCAAAGAATTAATGCATTTTCAGATATAACCAATAGAGCACCGCCCTAACACCAGAACCCCTTACCTAAGGGCCATGAAAGTCACAAATTGGGAAGAAGCATCCGTCCTCATCATAACTATGTACATAGTTCGTTGGTTTAATATCCAGACGCAGAGGAGAAGATTTTTAAAGAATTTATGCATTTTCACTATATACTTAGTAATCAATAGAGTCCCGCCGTAAAACCAGAACCCCTGACCATGGGGCCATGAAATTCACAATTTTGGAAGAGGAAGCCTTATTCAACATAACTATGTACTTGGTTAGCTTATTTAATGCCCAGGAGCAGAGAAGAAGATTTTCAAAGAAATAATGCATTTTCACTATACAGTCTATTTACCCCACTCTAGCACTAGCACCCCTGACCCTGGGGCCATGAATTTCACAATTTTGGTAGAGGACTTAATGCTGATTTCAATCATGCCAACAGTTTGACTGCTTGATGTCCAGGAGCATAGAAGAAGATTTTGAAAGATTGCACTAATTTTAGTGGTTTTGGCCCCACCCCTCAGGCCCCAGGGGGGCAGGGTCCATGAAATTCACAATTTTTGTTCCCCTTTACCCATAGATGCTTTGTATCAAAATTGGTTGAAATTGGTTGAGTGATTTCAGAGTAGAAGCTGAAAATGTTCAAATGTTAACGCACGGCGCACGGTGCACGACGCACGACGACGGACAACAACGGATAGCAATAGGTCACCTAAGTTTACTCAGGTGACCTAAAAAAAATCACGTAAAACAGAATTGAACATATTAATCTTTGATTGACATGACATTGTAGTGCAGTGCAATATAAGTGTAGGTAAATTCTTATTAATGAAACATATGGAGATAAGAAGCATGAATATGCTTGGAAATCAAAAAAAAAAAAAAAAAAAAAAAAAAATCACCAGTCAAAGAGGAGTGTTCATTTCTTCAGAATATTTTTGGCTTACCCAAATTAGTCGTTTGATAAAAATTTATCAGTACGTATAACTTTGTCGAAAAAGTCCTCCGACATAAGTGCTGGAGTGTTCATTTAGATCTTTATGAAAGAGAACAGTCATATATTAATTAAACATGAATAAATATTTCATCCAGTCCGTTGCTTTTTAAAAAAAAAACGTTTTCTTTTCAAAACACTGATTTAAAAAAAATCATTTTTATTTCAATTACAAAAAAAACAACAACTAAGTTCATTTTGACTCCAGATAATTTGCCAGGCACTACGTACAATGTGTAGAATTGTTTTGCAGAAGAGTGCTGTATATCTTTCGCAAACGCTTTAGTTTGATTCCCAAAATAAAAAAAATATCAATACGCATCTTCGCTAGCCAAGGGTTTCTGATACGCCCTTCTCCTCATAAACCCTTGGCCTACGGTGTTCATAGAAATCGGGATTTTTTTCCAGAGTTCTGATTGGATTTCAGTACACCCAGGTCGACCAATCAGCAATTGTTTTTAGTAAATGACGATATTTGCGTTCGGGATACATCTTCACTCTTTAATCTCGGAAATGAAAAACGCAAGAAAACAACGATCCGTAAGATAACATTCAATTCTATGAATAGCCATGGTGTCATCCAATATCTTCTAAATATGTGATTAAGAATCTATATTGAAGCTTCAGATTTGTTCTATAAATAATGAATAAACATAACTCAATTATTGCTTCTTAATTATTCTTGAAAAAAACTTTGATTTAATTTTTTCTTAACACGTGTCTTTATTTCTGGCGATGACGCAATCTGTGCGTACCTGATAGATTCGAGATCACGTGACGGAAAACAATCCCGTCTTTTGACTTCACCGTATGCCAAGGGTTTATGAGGAGAGGAGCATATCAGAAACCCTTGGCTAACGAAGATGATCAATACGTAACTCTGTCAACAAGTTTTTTTTTGTCATAATTACTGCATTGTTAATTCAGCTTCATATGAAAGAGAACAACTGTATATTAAGAAAATTTGATTTAAATAAAATCTTTCCAGATTTTAATCAATTGAATATGAATTAAATAAAATCCAACAACTTATGTTTCAAAACACAAAATAAGAAAAATTTAAAGTTTGAAGAGCAAGAAAGTGTAGTTAAATTCTTATTAAGATAAGATATATTAATTCTCTCAGAAATTAAAAAAAAAAAAACCCAAACACATCGGTCAAAGAGGATTGATCATTTCTTCAGGATGTTTTGCGCATACCCAAACTAGTCTTTCGATAAAAATTATCAATGCGTAACTTTGTCGAAAAAGTCCTCCGACATAATTATTGGATTGTTAATTGAGATTCATATGAAAGAGAGCAGCAATATATCAGTAAAATGTGAATAAAATAGTTCATTCAGTTGTTTTTTTTTTTTTTTTTTTTACTTTTTTTTTCAAAACACTAAATGAAAAAAGAAAATGTAATGGCATTCCTGTTACAACAAACTAAGTTTATTTTGATTGGATGATTTGCTAGGCACTATACAATTTGTTGTGCACTACAAAGATCTGTTTCATACTTGGATATCTTACTTGAGAAAGACGGTAATGGTTATCTAACAGCCAAGCTCTATGATAAACGTGACTTTGGAGGGTGGATGCATGGTGGGGAATGTTTCTATCGTCAACTTCCCGTACTTATGCAGCAATATACCTTCATCACCTGCATACGGAGTTTATATATCTCAGTTGATTCGATGCGCAAGAGCATGCTCTACGTATGAACAATTTCTAGAACGAGGTAAATTATTGACAAACAAGGTGATGAATCAAGAATATCACCAGTCTCGTTTAAAGTCACCATTTCGTAAGTTCTATGGTCGATACTAGGACCTTGTCAGCAAAATACAATTTATCATTGAGTCAAATGCTGACTGACGTTTTTCATACTAATTGTTAGTCACTGAATTGATGACGGATTTTTCTGTTAATTCCCGATCGTGACAAGGAGCACACGGCGAGTGTGACCGGTCGGCAAGGGATGCTCACTCCTCCACGGCACCTGATCCCACCTCTGATGTTTTGGAGGTCCGTATTTGCTTTGCTCCTATTTTGTATTGTTTTATCGACTTCGGTATTGAATACTGTTTGTTATCTCCATATCCTTCATCAGATTGATTGAGTCTCAAAATGTTCACTCATCAGTCACTCAGACAGGAAAATTCATATTTATTTGAATATTTAACTTAATAAAAATAGACTAAATATTTAAGTAGACAGTACGTCAAGCAATTACTATGAGATACATGCAGCAATCTGCATGTTTTGTCTTAGTCTAGTTTAAGTAGTTATTATAATCAAAAATAATATTATGTCTAGAATTTTTTATTTAATGGTTAATTTTTTCAAAGTGCATCAAGTGTCTGTAAATGTCCACTTTTGACGCACTTTAAATAAATTTTTCAGTGAGTAGATTTTGAAATTTTTTTCGTAGTGCATTTTTACTTTGAAATTTTTCCCCATCAAAGTAAGAACTCGGGTTCGGTAACCTTCTAGAAGGTGTGTCGATTTTTAACCAATCATATTGCATCATATTAAGTAGAAGGTCGAGGTCGTGTTGTTGTTGACGAGTAGCAAGGGTTGAGATAAGAGGTTTACAGCGCACATTGCAGTTGACACAGTTCTGGCCTGGATTGAGTTTCTCCAACAGAGTTCAACATGAGTGAAAAAGGAGCTAACCCCATCGACACGGAACCTATTACCCTTACGAGGTTCATTTTAGCCGAGCAGAAAAAGCATCCTTCGGCCACGGGTGACTTTTCTCAGTTGATCAACTTCATACAGACGGCAGTGAAAGCGGTGTCCTCGGCTGTCAGGAAAGCAGGCATTCACAAAATGTATGTACCTACAGACCTTGGACTTTGTACTGATCTTATTGTCAGTTTCTGAATCCTGTGGAAAATAAAATTTTAAAAATAGAAAAACAACCTAGCTTAACTTAAGTATTCCGTTTAATATCTGTTCCAGTTAAACTTGATTGCTAAGAGAAAACACAACATTTAACGCAAAAACTATTTATTTTATTTGGGGAAAAATAGTTGACAAAATAATTCTTAAATGACTAAACGTTATGTACAATTGTATTAGTGTCAAATCAATCACAGCCACTTGAAGTGCAGGTGCCCCCTCGTATGCATTTGTAGTTTTCAAAATAATACCTTAAATACTAAGCATGCAATATACATAGAAATTAGGTTTACAATTTTGAAATCCCTGAGGATGAAGCTTTGTATACAAGTTTAATAAATGACTGATCTTTTCATGAGCAATCGGATACGTTAGATTCACCGTTCTGTGTCATCGTTACAGACAACAGCCGATTTCCTGCTCTTCTTGATTACAGTGCTCTGTACAACAAATGACATGGTATAATCCCTGATTAAGCAATCTCTCTGCAGTAGGTAAACTTTAAAGTACATTGACTTGGTTGATCAAGAGCATTCGAGTCAAGGTGTTTATTTTTTTTCCCTTTGGTATATATTTTTCATTTGGGCCACACCAATAAAATTTTTTGTTCGTCGGATCCGCCCGCTCATATTTAAACAAAACTATACAAATAATATTTAAAATTCCCGCACCATTGGAATTCTGTGCTGTTTTCTGTTCCATTTCCACTCTATTTATCGTACTTTTAATATACTTTCTCTGCAAATCAGAAAAAATATAATTGTCCGCTCAAATTTTTTCACGCCCTGCCTAAAAATTTTGCCTACAAAAAGTAATAATATTATTATTTAACCGCTAGCCCTCTCGTACTTTTTTTCATCAAATGTCCAACGAACAAGAAATTAAATTGGTGTGGCCTTGAGCTTTTTTACTAGGGAGATGTATGAAACCTTTTCTGAGAATAACCAAGCCAGACCATTCATAACCCTACTGATGGTTAACAATGATTGAAAGTTTGAATCTTTATAATGGAAAGGATAATTTTTCATGAATTCCTAAGAACATCTTTATATTGTACACTTTAAGCACAGAGTTTATTAATACACATACATACAGGCTAATCATAATATGTCATTTACCCAGAAATAATTAATTGTTTTGGTCAACTGATTTAAAGACAGGATTTTTTTCTTATTTCTTACTTTCCCTATTGCCAATACCTTTACATTCATTCAGATGTTCTCTCTAAAACCATCTTCCAGATTTGGTATGTCCGGTACAGAGAATGTGTCTGGAGATGACCAGAAAAAGTTGGATGTTTTGGCTAATGACCTGTTTATTAACATGCTCAAGTCTTCCTTTCTAACTTGTCTCCTGGTGTCAGAGGAAAATGATCACGCAATTGTTGTGGAACCAGAGAAAAGGGTACGAACTGAAACAAGTCTAATCCAGCTACATTTCAAACAACTGATTTATAGACCTTATAGGAATTTATAATTGACTTTGTAATAGACATTCTGGACAAGTTTTGTTGTATACTTGTTGTACATATTCCATCATTAAAGCACTACAAAGGTATTATAGTGCTTTAATGATGGAATACTCATTACAATGTATTGTTATTTATTCTTTAAAGTTATTTAAGACAGGACCCCATTGGAAATAAGCTCTCGAGCTTTAATGGGTTATCCTGGTATCTATCTAGTCATGTTAAATTATTTATTTATAAAATCTTGATTACCAACTTCCATCTTTTATAAGATCATGTATAATTATGTGTATTTGTTTATGTATGATGACATGATACCTAGGGTTGGATACCGTTAAGGATGAAACGGTATGATACCATACCGATATTTTTGAAACGATACGGTATTTTTAACGGTACGGTACTATACCTTGATGCATGAGAATCCGGGTTTATTTTAATGACAAATGTGCTTTCAATTATCATCGCTTATAACCAAACTTTCAATATAATAATCTAAAATGTGTTAAATATATTCCATTTCTATAATTCAACCTTTTATTAAATAATCAACAAAACAGATTAATCTGAATCTCTATAAAATAAAAAAAAAATTACAAACACCGCCGTCTAATTCTCTGCTAAATGACAGCTGATCGCGTCATCCGGTCGCCATTTTGCTTGGTAGCACTAAACGACGAAACATGAAAAATGGAGAGAGATGACATCACAAATCCGCAACGTTTTGCCTTTTTAATTGACAATTTCTATCAGTTTCTATTAATAAAACTGAAACAAGATTAATCTAAATATTTTTTAATACGCATTGGTTTCCCTCGAATATCGGCTGTAGAAAGGAAGTATCTTACTTAGTACTGATTTCGTTAATTAGCCTACCCTTTCAGTGCATGAGAATTCCATTTAGGCGAGTCTGGAATCTTAACTAAAGATAATTTTAAATGTATAACAATGTTTTAAAGATTAAGAAATACCGTTATCAGTACCGGTATTAAATGAAACGGTATTTTACCGGTATTTTTGAAGTAACTATTCGGTACGGTACTGGTACTGTGTACCGGTGTCCAACCCTAATGATACCAAATAAATACTACTACTACTACTACTACATATATAAAGAATCATCTACAGATACTGAAACAGTACAATAATAGTGTTTTTAAAAACATTAAACAACAAGTGGTAGTCATCCCTTTAAAATCTTGCAGCAATTCTTTATGAAATTTTCATGAAAACTATAATACTGTAAAAGTCACTTATAATGAAGCGTCAGGGACTGATGATTTTGCTTTGTTTTAAGTGTATATTTCATTAGATAAGTTTCTAATACATATATTTTAAAGTCATAGGTAATGAAAATCCTTTGCTGTAAGCATCAATTCATTATGAGCATGTTTCACTGTATATAGTGCCATTTTGCACCTATTTTTCAATGTTTCGATTGGACGTGTACTATGAAATCAAATTTTTTGGGGGGTTCAATTTTCATGGTATGAAAAGACAAACAAATTTATGCCCCAGACTAATTGTTAAAATTGAATTAAAAATTACATTTAAAGTCATTTTCATGTTTGTCCTTCAACCACAAAATAAAATTCCCATCAACCAAAATGATTTTGCAGTATTGGAGATTTCCATTACAAAAATTGACTTCATAGTGCCTACTTGATACCAATTGTCATTATACTTGTAATGGGTAATGGTAATTTTTTTGTGAACTTATCTTAAAAGTAACTCTTAAAAAATTATTTTATATGTATCTTTCAGGGCAAATATATAGTAACCTTTGACCCCTTGGATGGATCCTCAAACATAGACTGTCTAGTATCTATTGGGTCTATTTTTGCTATTTACAGAAAGGTAACATTACACTAAAGTTACTAAAAGGTACTTTGTGCATACCTGTTTTTAGAATATATACAAGAATTGTAAATTCACAATCATGTACATGTAATGAACAAATCTTTACAAATTTATTTACTAGGTTCTATAGTGGTATTAAGTGAAGTCCACTTTTTTTGAGATATGCATGTGAAAACCTTATTTCTTTACTAATTTTTTGCAGAAAGATGATGGGCCTGCCACTGAGAAGGATTGCTTACAGAGTGGGCGGGAGTTGGTGGGGGCAGGGTATGCCTTATATGGTAGTGCCACAATGATTGTTCTGTCCATTGGAAACGGTGTTAATGGTTTCATGCTTGATCCGGTAAGTTAGATTTTTTCCTTTCATTATTCAGTTTTTAATACCTAGGGAGTTGTCTTACTATCTATAATATGATCTTTTTGCATGTAAGAACATTGCCTCAGATGTCTAGATGTTTTTCCAGAAAGTATGAGTTGTGCAGAAAATGCACATTTAGGTCGTGCAGAAAACATAGGTCATGTGCAGAAAATATAGGTCATGTGCAGCATCTGCAGTATGACTAATTACATGCAAGTCTGTTCAACACTCAACAGCGGAGCTACAGGTTCATAATAATGAAGAAAATTACAAAATTATCTTTTAAAACTTTTAATCCATTCATGAAAAAAGGGGGTTGCTTGCAGAATTCAAGATAGATTTACCCTCAACGTCAAAATTTCAAAATCTGTTTAATTTTTTAAATTAAGACCAAATTTTCACTGTCAGTGAGTGTGTGAATTCTAATATTTTATAAACTTGCAACTTTCAAATTTTTTGAATTGAAATCAAGATATAAGAATTTTAAATTTGACTAAATTCTGTTTTCAGTTTATTGATTATGGGTCTGAGTTAAGACAATGCATGTATAATTGCATCATTCTCAATTATTTTTGCTGAGGTATCAATACTGTGATAGACATTGTCTTCAAGGAAATTAATTTTGCTTTTAATATTTTAAATTTTTCAGTCCATTGGAGAATTTATCCTGACTGAGCCCGACATAAAAGTCAAACCAAGAGGAAAGATTTACTCGATCAATGAAGGCTATGAGCAGTTCTGGGACAAAGCTACGGTGGAATATGTACAGAGCAAAAAGAGACCAAAGGTAAACACACTGTCTTGCCTGGTGTCCATCTGAAACAAGTAGTTAATACAAACTTTGTCATTCTGTAATTAATACTTCCATGAATCAAGAAACTGTATTTATTACAAAATTTATTTTACAAATGAACCATTGACTCTCATTTGCTCACCCTACCACTAGGAGTTATGATTTGAACAAACTTGTATGCTCACATATAAAGATGCATGCAATTTATATACTGTAGATTGGCAAATAATCACTATGGTTTTAATTTTGCTATGTTCACGATTTATCATTTTTCTGCCAAATTAAACCCACCGTGAATGCTATTATTAGTTTTTAAAAATGTTTAAATGCTTATATGAAATTTGAATAAATTTCTTGCAGCCTGAAATTAAAACCATCCCAATTAGTACTTTTTGAGATATCGTGAAATTTTAACACCATGGAATGAAAACGACTTACCATATTTGTATAATTATGCTTTATCATTCTCCTCTGAGAATCTGTACCCAGCAATTTTCAAATATCCACAGAGAGCACAACTTAAGGTCCCAAACTGAGGAAATAGCAATATTATATGTTATTAATTATAATAGCGGTTATGGATATATTTCTCAAAATGTATGTATATCATACATTTTTAGAAAGAATAAAATATAGGTTTCAGTGCAGGGATTTTCCACTGCCCCCTGTAGGGCCGAATATGGGCCTTATTCCCAACTGCAAAATCACTCCAGTTTTCCCAAAAATGAACAGCCTGTGTTTAAATTTTGAAAAATTCATGTAAAACAAACATGGTCAGGTTTGAACTCTTTATGAAATAAACATATTTTTTGGAGACTTGGCTAAAACTTTATAATAATAATAGATCTGTTTTCTGGACTAAAGTTCTGAAAATATGAAGTAAAAAGTCAATTTGAACTATCATAAGTGTTTATTTATTGAAATACATCTTGCTATAAAATTTCCCAAAAAGTTCTAAAAATCCCAATTGGAAGGGCCTGGGCCCCATTCCCAAAATGGGGTGGAAAATCCCTGCAGTGGAAATCCTTGAAAACATAAACATAGAAAATTAAACAAGAATATTGTTAGAGAAACAATATGAATGTGGTAAGACTTGTGAATATGGTATTAGGTGATAAAACAGGGCTCTGTTAATCATTTAGTGAAATTCTATATTTCTTTTAAATCACCACTGTCTCTGGGTACTAAACAAACTTAGTACATGGTTATGGTGAGCAAGTATGCTTCTGTATTGTGAAATTCCTAACCTCTGGCTCAGAGGTTCTGGTGTTAGAGTAGGGCTCTAAAATACAGTGTACAATGAAGGTCCCACACTGATCAGAAAAGATATAGGGATCGAGCTTTGACCTCAAAGGGGCTAAAAAAACCCAAACTTAGCATTTTTTCACATAGAGGCTTTTATATTGATTCATTACTTTTCCCTCCAATATTTTAGACAGGAAAGCCGTATGGAGCCAGGTACATTGGGTCAATGGTAGCAGATGTTCACAGAACACTTGTCTATGGTGGGATATTTATGTACCCTGCAACCTCAGAAGCACCCAAGGGCAAGGTTTGACTTTAAACTTGTAAATTCTATTTATTGCTTAAAATAAAAAAAAAAAAAAAATTTGATGTTAAGCAAAAGCATACAATGTCAAAAAACCTTTAATACCTTACTTGCTCAATTCTCATGTTCTGGCAAAAATATGACTAATATATATACTGACTTGAAAAAGAATTAAAACATTGAATTAAAAAAAAAAACATTTGGTATAATTTTGAATGGTAAACCAGGAGTCTCTGTCGAGACTGAAGCTCTACTGGTTTGTACTTATAGCAAAGGAAGAGAAAAGTACTTAAGCAGTTGGAAATTGAAACTTTTCAACAGCAATAAATAGAATAATGATCCTTGATTAAGTCTCTTTATGTTCTTAGTGCAGTCTACTTGCATGCCACATTTATATTATAATCGGACTAAAATTGTATTTGGAGTAGCATTTTGAAAGAATTTCACAGAAATTTCTATTTTTAGTAACCACAGCAACACCGCTCATCGAAATCAAAAACCGATACACAGAATTATGTATCTTATTGTGTGCCAAGTTATATTGAAATCAGTCTAAAACTGTAGAAGGAGTAGCATTTTGAAAGAATTTCACAGAAATTTCTATTTTTAGTAACCACGGCAACACCGTTCATTGATATCAAAAACCGATACACAGAATTATGTATCTTATTGTAGTCTACTAGTGTGCCAAGTTATATTGAAATCAGACCAAAACTGTAGAAGGAGTAGCATTTTGAAAGAATTTCACAGAAATTTCTGTTTTTAGTAACCACGGCAACACCGTTCATCGAAATCAAAAACCGATACACAGAATTGTGTATCTTAGTGTAGTCTACTTGTGTGCCAAGTTATACTGAAATCAGACTAAAACTGTAGGAGGAGTAGCATTTTGAAAGAATTTCACAGAAATTTCTATTTTTAGTAACCACGGCAACACCGTTCATCGAAATCAAAAACCAATATACAGAAGTATGTATCTTAGTGTAGTCTACTTGTGTGCCAAGTTATACTGAAATCAGACTAAAACTGTAGAAGGAGTAGCATTTTGAAAGAATTTCACAGAAATTTCTATTTTTAGTAACCACGGCAACACCGTTCATCGAAATCAAAAACTGATAAACAGAATTATGTATCTTATTGTAGTCTACTTGTGTGCCAAGTTATATTGAAATCAGACTAAAACTGTAGGAGGAGTAGCATTTTGAAAGAATTTCACAGAAATTTCTATTTTTAGTAACCACGGCAACACCGTTCATCGAAATCAAAAACCGATATACAGAATTATGTATCTTAGTGTAGTCTACTAGTGTGCCAAGTTATATTGAAATCAGACTAAAACTGTAGGAGGAGTAGCATTTTGAAAGAATTTCGCAGAAATTTCTATTTTTATTAACCATGGCAACACCGTTCATCGAAATCAAAAACCGATACACAGAATTATGTATCTTAGTGTAGTCTACTTGTGTGCCAAGTTATAATGAAATCAGACCAAAACTGTAGGAGGAGTAGCATTTTGAAAAATTGTTTACAGACAGACAGACGGACAGACAGACAAACAGACAGACAGACGGACGGACGGACGACGGACGCATTACTATCGCATAAGCTCTTCTGGTCTCTGACCAGTAGAGCTAAAAATGGGACATCTTCAACTTTGTGTAGTGAGAGGTTGGCTGATTTTCATTCTGTTTCTGGACCCAAGTCCTCACAATTAAAACAAAGCATTTCTTTTCTAGAAATTGACAATGATTAGGTTTATATGAGTGTGTTTCTTAGTATAGGTATAGCAGCAGTGAGCACTATTGTAAAAAAAAGAAACCAGAAGTCTCTGTCGAGACTGTAGCTCTACTGCTTTGTACTTATCAAAAAACCATGCACTATTCTATGTATCTTAGTGTAGTCTAATTGTGTGCCAAGTTATATTGAAATCAGACCAAAACTGTAGAAGGAGTAGCGTTTTAAAGGAATTTCACAGAAAATTCTAGTTTTAGTAACCATGGCAACACCGTTCATCAAAATCAAAAACCGATGCACTATTCTATGTATTTTAATGTAGTCTACTTGTGTGCCAAGTTATATTGAAATCAGACCAAAACTGTAGAAGGAGTAGCGTTTTAAAGGAATTTCACAGAAAATTCTAGTTTTAGTAACCATGGCAACACCGTTCATCGAAATCAAAAACCGATGCACTATTCTATGTATCTTAGTGTAGTCTACTTGTGTGCCAAGTTATATTGAAATCAGACCAAAACTGTAGAAGGAGTAGCGTTTTTAAGAAATTTCACAGAAAATTCTATTTTTAGTAACCATGGCAACACCGTTCATCGAAATTAAAAACCGATGCACTATTCTATATATCTTAGTATAGTCTACTTGTGTGCCAAGTTATACTGAAATCAGACTAAAATTGTAGGAGGAGTAGCGTTTTTGAAAAATTGTTTACGGACAGACAGACAGACAGACGGACGGACGCCGGACGCATTACTATCGCATAAGCTCTTCTGGTCTCTGACCAGTAGAGCTAAAAAATTGTTTCTTTGTCTTCTGTGATGCCAAGGCCTACTGAAAATGACCATGTGCAGGTATTGGAACTGCATCAGTCTCAAAATGAAATTTGTACAAGTTACAAGTAAAAATTGTGTAACAAAAAAAGCATACATCGTATAATTCATGTAACAATCATAGCTTAAATTGAAGAAAAGTTGGAAGTTCATAGCTGACGCAAAGATTCTTTATGAACTGAATGTTCGTCATGGTCTTCACCCAGTGTTTATTGACAGATTTAAGGTCATTTGTTCCAGGGAAAAAAAGGGGAAAATTTGTTTCTGGTTCATAATAATTAGATAAATATTGGTAGCAACAATTTTAAAAAATCCTGTGGGGGCATCATTTTTGTTGGCCTTTAGTTCTGCATTATCTCAGCATCATTCATGATGCTGGTTTGTTTTGAGCTCTACTGGTCAGAGACCAGAAGAGCTTATGCGATAGTATGTTGTCCGTCTGTCTAGCTGTCTGTCTGCAGACAATTTTTCAAAATGCAACTTCTCCTACAGATTTGGTCTGATTTCAGTACAACTTGGCACACAAGTAGACTACACCAAGATACATAATTCTGTGCATCTGTTTTTGATTTGATGAATGGTGTTGCTCTGATTACTAAAAATAGAAATTTCTTTGAAATACTTTCAAAATGCTACTCCCCCTAACAGTTTTGGTCTGATTTCAATATAACTTGGCACACAAGTAGACTACACTAAAATACGTAATTCTATATATTGCTTGCCTGTTGCAAAGTTTCAAATCCAAGTGCTACTTTTCCTTTGTTATACGTACAGACCAGTAGAGCTACAGTCTTATCAGAGACTTCTGGTTTCTCCATTATCTCCGTATTGTTCATGATGCTGGCTTGTTTTTCAGCTGAGGATGTTGTATGAGAGCATCCCCATGGCTTTCATTGTGGAACAAGCAGGAGGGCTTGCTGTGACAGGAACACAGAATATTCTGGATATTGTTCCCCAGTCAATTCACGAACGCTGTCCTGTGTTTATGGGTTCCAAGGAGGATGTACAGGATGTCATTGAGCTGTACAAGAAACACGGTCTATAGACAGGGGGCTGTGTAGACTGGAAAACATTTTGTTCAGACAGCTACATTATTTTTTAATATAAATTTCATACTACATATTTGGTCTCATAAGCATAATGTCCATCGACGTATATTGTTTACCACAAATCATCTGTTTTATTGGGAAGTTGTGGTCCTACATTGAAGGCTTAACTGATAGGTATAACACATGTACATACAGTGCAATTGTAATTTAATTATCTACTGCAAAACTTGTTATTAAAAACAGGTATATGGAATCTAGTTTCTATTGAAGCTTTAATATGAATAATGTGGGATTGTTAGCTTATCATTAACAATCGTAAAAACATGTATTTATAATGTAATAAAATAACGGAAAGGATTGGAGAATTATTTTTATTCTTATGGTAATAATATTTTGTATTGCCAAAAGTTTTGTTTATACTTTTATTATTTTTTGGGGGGAGCAAATTTTGTATCCTTTTTCGTAAAGTTGCTGTATTTGTGACTTTTGACAGAATTCCTTATGATTGTGCCATTGAAAAAATGAAGAGTATGAAAATCTTAAAATTATATTATTGCAATAAATATGATTATATTAATGCATGATGATTATTGTATTTTTTATTCGAATAAATTTGTGGACTGAGGAGATCGGCATATTAATTTGAATGATTTATATCTTGTTAACATATCTTTTAATATTAATGTGAAATGTAGCAGTTAATAGCAAGAAAACATAACTACAAGAGATATGAGCTCCACTGCTTTAATGATTATAATCCCCCTGGAAACGAAGTTTGGGGGGATATATAGGAATCACCTTGTCCATTTGTCTGTGCAAATGTGTCTGGTCCATATCTTTCTTATGGAAGAACATTAGAATCTACTACTTCACACAAAGATTGTTCATGACCTTAGGGCCTAGCCCCCTTCCAAGGGGAGATGATCAAGAAAAGACAAACATAGGGTGGGGTCATTAAAAAATCTCGAGAATCACTCGGTCAGAAAAAGCTGAAACTTACCTGGAAGCATAATGGTATAGTGTAGATTTGAAGTTGTTCAAATTATGGCCTCCAGGGGTAGGGTGGGGTCACAGTAGGGAATGTTTGTTTCACATTAAAGCTGAACACGAATAGGCATATGCCATTTTCGATAACATTATCTACGATATATCAACACCAGGGTATACTCTTCAGATTTGTCACACCTGACTGCTTTATTGTCATGGGTATCGGCATGGAACTGTATTTATCAAATAATCTATGTTTTGCAATCGCAAATGATTGTTTTCGGTGTTAAGTATAGTTAACGGTTATGAAACATAGATTATCGCGTTAACTATGGTTTACAAATGTAAAATAAAGATTAACGTTGTTAACTATAGTTTACAGTCCGTAAACTGTAGTTAACAAATAGTTAACAAATTGTTAAAGGCCGAGCTTGACCTACTTGAAAATCCGGTGGTAGTGCAATTAAGCAAATTTGGTGTAGGGCGGCGCTTACTGCTGCAGCCAAGTTAAAAATAAACTCCAGCATGCTGATAACAGAAGACAGCACATGTGTTACTTGGCTAAACAAGTCGCCCACTGTGATAATCTTTACAGAGTATAAACAAATACAAAGCAGGATTTACAAGACACACTGCTGATTTATTGATTAATTACATTATTGATTATATAAAATTCTGAATAAAATAAAAAAAAAATTAATTATTTCAATTACATTATAATATTGATATTTCATATATGTACAACATTTTCTGGACTCAATATTAATATTATAACAGTTCATTTCAGTAAAAGCTTTCTACATATTTACACCAAATATTATCCCTGTATCTAAATGTTAGTTTTTTGTACACTTTCTTCCCTTTTTGGTTTCTCGGGGCATTCGGATTCCTGGAATGATACACAGAGGTGTGCTCCCTGTCAACGTTCTCATTCCAGTGGCACACAGCTAAGTTTGATCTGAGTTTATACTGGTTTTCTCCAAACACTATTCTCTTGTCTTGAAATATGTTCATGACATTATTAAAACTTTCTACATAGAAAGTATCTTTACCTAAAACATAATCCTCAGGATATTTATAGATTACTGATCCTTTCAGTGCATTTTCTAAAAGTTTTTTGGCGATTTTACTTGTTAACACCACTCGAGAAGGTTCATACTTTTCATCCTTTCTGCATCGTGACTCTGGATGGCACTTTTCATGCAAGTTTTCATAGTGCGGAATTATATTCTCTATAAATTCTTGTAGTTTTTTTGGATTTCCTTCACAGTGACGAACAGCCCAATGAATATGAGTGGCAACTGGTTCGGTCTTGTCAACTAGCTGCTCACTCCAGGTAAAACCCTCGGACTTCTTACTGCCACTGGAAATATTTTTCAGTGATTTTTTAAGTGCTTACACTGAATGCCATAAGTCGTTTTGATTTGTTGTTTCTTGTGAGTCTTTGATGAATTTGTTGATACTGAGATTTCTGTCGTGAGAGTGGATCTTGACGGTAACGTCTTGGGAGGTGAAATTTTCATAAATGGTTTCTGTGCCAATTCTTTCATGTCGTTGAGAAACTGGGTCCTGTTGTTTTGTGACATGGACACAATCCAAAACTTTATGACATTTCTCACCGATGGCCACTACAGATGTGTCTTTTGCGTTTTTACGCCATCCATGCCTAGCATCAGTTAAAATGTTAATTCCATCCAAATCTTCGTAACTTCCAATTTCTTCATGAAGAGCATCTTGAATGGATTCCTGATATTCGGTCTCAACAGAATTTTTATATTCTTCAAAAAATTGTTTCCTCCTGGCCCAGTTGATGCATCCTAATCCACTTCCATTTGAGAATCTTGTATAATGAGATGGTAGCATTCCACTACAAATGAGACCATGACATATTCTGTGGTTGACTAAATATTCATCATTGGGTAGATATGGTGATGATGACCAGGAATAACTATGCATTTTGTCCTTGGAGCATTGGAGACGCAAAGAGATGACATGCCCTTTCATAGTTTTCTTTGAAAATTTCAATTTTCCATCACAGGTTTTGGTATGAGCTTCACAAAGTTCACATATATTCAAAAGTGATGATTCTGCACAAACGAACATTTTCTGATTTACGTCCCTCTTCCTGACTTGAAGATATGTTGATGGAAATTGTGTCTGATCCGGCTCCACTCTTTGGTCCTCTGAGTGTTTTTTTAGCCAAAAGTCCAAAAGTTCCTCAATAATAACAGCATTGTTTACAGGTGCATTGCGCTTGGAAGTGAGAAATGTTTTCACCTCTTGGAGTTTTCCTTGAATTTTAGTTTTAAATTCTCCATCACCTGGAATTTCAAGTCTAAAATTTGGTGGACGTTTCTTTGAGGATTCTACGTTTTTTGCCATGATTTTGAATACAAGATTTTGATGGTTCAGAGAGTAATTGTTTTAGTATATATTGGTCAGTAACCCAAAACCATCCTTTATTGGTTATCATGGATTTTCTGGGAGGCAGGGGGGGGGGGTATTTATTGTTATAAAAGAGGAAAACGTGTTACCTCATGATAAAATTACATGTATTATTGTTCGAATGTATTGATTTTTCCTTTTTTTTAATTTCTCTTTACATTTTTTTTAATTAAAAAAAAAATAAAGTTGCCTTAATTTCTAAGGAAAAAAAATATTAACATAAACAGAATTCTCCTTAGTTTGGCCCTATTCACAAATTTGCAGTAACTAATAAACCATTCTCTTATCACCATCTAATCATGTGGGGAGGTCAGACTTCACACAGCTGCATCAATTAGTACCTACCTACATTGCATCAATTAGTATCTACACCGTAATCTTTAGACACCATTTTCCATCAGTGTGTTATTTTATTTTGTAAGCAAAATGGAAGAAAGACAGAGATTAATTTTGGATGTAAGTGAAATGCAGATGGAGGCCATAAAACATTTTTTTCTGCATAGTGAATGGGATTTTCGCCCCATTGACACATCACAGGAAGAGGAAATTGGCGGGAAAACATGTGTAAGGTCAGAATGTGTAGACAAAGGTGTTCAGACAAATACAGAATTAGATACTGGACCCGATTGCTGTGGCAATGATGAAGAAGATAATGTCGAAGAAGAAAAATTTGTCATTCCTCAAGACAATAACAGAGACGAATGCCCATTCTGCCTCTGCAAACCCTGCATCACAGATGACAACAACAGGCAATTATGGTGGGAAGTGGAACCATTCAGACTGCCCCACCCCAGGAATTCTAAATTACCAAAGGAGAAATATAAAAGATTTTGGACAATGCTTTTACATCGTGGAGTATGGAGTGATCCCCGATATGTTGTGAAAAAAATGCGAGCTTTGGAACATTTTCAGCCGGGACAGGAATGGCACAGACGTGACATAATGCCAACATGTGTAGTGAACATTGTGAGAACATGGCTACCAAATCCAAAAGATGTACAATACATGGGTCATTTGTGGGAATAATTTATTTTCTTATCTGACAGTCAGTTGTGTCTTCTCTTTTATTTCTTTTTGTTTGTATATAGATAGGCTAGGAATATATTTGACTCGGTATTTATTTTGTACAGCTATTGTGAGGATTTTATAATATTCTAATTTCAATACAGATGTGAAAAAAATTTAAATCATGGATTTTATTTTTGGAGGTTGGATTTATCTAGAGATGAAAGTAAGTCAAATACTGCAGCATTCTGTTTTCCTACAATGTCTGCATGAGATGTAGACAACTTCCGGTGTAAACAATAACAAACTAAACCACACCCACTGCTGTCAGTTTTGAATTTCAAATAGAAATAGAAGCCCTGCTTCAAATATTTCAATGAAAAATACAGCTTAGAAAAAATTTCCAGCAAATTTAATTTGTGACCAAAGATGGACATTAGTGAGGAGAGTTAGCATGACAAAAATCTGGTGATAAAGGAGACTCAGTATTTTAATATTTGTAAATAAGTCTCTGCAATCTGAATGTGGCCAGAAAAATCAAATATACCACCATTTTTCTCATTGGCTGCTATTTATACTCCGATGTCCTCCTTTAACTATAGTTCACGGTTTGTAAACTATAGTTTACAGTCGATAAACCTAGTTTATCAACTGTGAAACTATGTTAAGCTCATTTTTGTGAATTTGGCTTGCCATAAATAACTGGAATTTTTCTAAGTCCAGGGGCATAACTCTGTCAAAAATTGCTTGATAGTACCCAAAACAGACCTTGACCTAGATAAACCGAAATATGAATGTACTATCTTTTCTCCATAAGTTGATATTAACTAGTTTAACGCTGAAGACTATTTGTAAAAAGAACTTGTCCGCCGTATTTGTTCAAGCTCTTGCTATATCTGCAGCCCCTATAAATAGAGCCCGTGTGGTCACTGTTCAGTGTAATGAATTGTCACTGGTGTACATGGACATATGCTATACAATACTCAGTAACAACAAAAAATAACTGTGTACTTCTTCCAATGCAGGAGAGGAAGATACCAAAGAAACTTAAAACAGTTGCACTGGTCAGTGCCACAAAATTTTTGTAACTGCAATAAAATGTAAACAAAGGTAATACAATATAACCAGCACGAACATGGGTCGCCATTCCATGCCAATACCCATGACAGTAAACTTTAGTCAGGTGTAAAGAATGCAAAGAGTATACCCTGGTGTTGATGTATCATATATAGATGATGATATCGAAAATGATGTATGCCTATTTACAAGTTTTGTCCATTAAAGCATTAAAGTTGTTAGGATAGACATGCTAGACAATGTCCCCTCATTTTCACAAAAGCACCAAAAGTCAGACAGTGCAAAAAAAAATCATATCTGTATCTGTCAATGTTTCTATTCCTAGAAATTACATTATCTCCTAATAATTTAATTTTGTTTGTATTCTAGCCTCTCTTTGGTTGATTTCCAAAAAGGAACGCAAATTATTCTGTATAATCTGGTTTGGTATGGGGACACATCCCCTTGACAACCAGCTGAATCATCTGTATCCATGTAATCCCCTCATTTCCAGTCCTCCGGATTCATGGAAAATTCCATATTTAATAAATGCACCTTCAACTTCAAACAGTAGCTCGATCTTACCTCATATAAACAAACATCATGGCTGCTAGGTCTATATATCAGTTATTACCTCCCCTTGCTTACGTTTCTACAGTTGTATTAATGAGCAGTAAATTTGAACTCATAAAAAGCAACACAATTTCACATCCTCAGCTGTTTAATTATTTTAAAATTAAATTATAAGGAATGACTCTAACTCTTGGCCAAATTATTATATCCTGGTTTAGGTCAGTTTACGCTCTTTTTATAACCTGGTTTGGGTCAGTTTACGCTTTATAATCCGCTTCGCAAACCAGGTTATATCGAATAATTTGGCCAAGAATTAGAGTCATTCCTTAAATAATGCCATTAAAACTCATCACCTCCCTTATTCATTTCCTTACTTTTCTGGTCAATAAAAGCCGAGATCATAAGATTTTACAGTATTTTTATTTTCACTTGACAAAGTACATCAAGTAGATTCATTTTTCTAAAGTATAAAGCAACAATGATGTTTACTGTCACATAAACTACAATTTTATGACTAAAATTGTAAGTTACATGGGTAAGACAGTCAGTGAAAACAACAGTTATAATGCTAAAAAGAATGGTGTAAAATGAGATATCCAAAATATTTCTATTTTGTAGAGTTAATGATAACATGTAAAAATCTAGACTGAATAAGAAATGTCATTCTATTTGTTCATCTGCAATAAAATACACTGCAACAAACACAAGATAAGCTATAAAGGGAGATCACCCTGAATTACAGAGATCAATTTTTTTTTTAAATATATATGTTTTTTCATGAAGTTCAATTTAATCTGTTGCAGCACTTATATTTACACAGTACATATACCATTCTGAAAAAAAATTATGATTCTATAATTTTCCTAAAATCTAAACATTCACCAAATCCCACTAATCAATAAAAATTTATTACATTGTCTACTTTTTAAAATAAACTTTACTAAATTTCCCTTTATAGCTAACAAAAATTTACTTGATAAAAATTAGCACATTCAAAAATAATCAAGGAAATATATTTTTTATTAAAATTTTTTTGAAAAGATTAAAATGAATATTAAGTGATTCTTACTTAATGACAATGAACATGTAAGAAAAAAAGGAATTGGAACAACCTTTTGCGTAGACATCACATGGTGATTAAAAAATGACAAATACGAATAAGATGGCTGGCTGTACACAGGTAAAATTTTGGTTTCCAGAACACAAATCTAAAGATATTATTACAATAATATTGTCATTCATAATGTACAAAGCTGGGCAAATATGTACAGAATCCAGCAAACAAACAAACAAACAAACAAAAAAAGAGTATTTGATACTCCCCAAGTCAATTGTTATAAATATAATGTCAAGAATTTTATTCTTTGATTCAGCCATAATAATACCCCTGTTAATCTTTAAATAATAATGATCTATTTTGTAACCTCCACTAAATCGTAAGGAAGAACAGTCAAGTGCTAGCAAAATTATTTATTCATGCTTGTGGATCTGAGATTGCGCCATCTTTTGGTTTCTTCCGATACAATTTAGTTTTGGTAATACAAAATATGCTGCCTATATACAGGGCAATTTCTAATGGCATTCAACTTCTACATGTATTTACATCTATGCGTTGTGTATAACTTGACCCTATTGAGTCACACAGCTAAGAATATTTGTTCCATCAATGTACTGAGTATGATACTTTACATTCATTGACAAGGATTCAAAATTATGTACATCTCCAAGAAATAAATAAGATATGATGAACAATCTCTTTAGCTGTGAACTATTATGGGATAATAAAAGCTACCAAAGCAGATTGCACACATAATAATGTACAAGCACACATATATTTACATCAATGTATACAGAATACAGTACAGCCTGTATCTCTCTGTTAACAATCCTGATTGCATAGGTCAATTCCAAACAATTAACAAGGTACACAAACAACTAACATGAAAGCCATTTGTAGATACATAGACCAGCCATTTTTGCAAATGTAATAAACATAAATAATTGCCATATCTTCATCGAATTATGCATGTCCTCATCACAAACACAAGTATTAAGCAAAGGCATACAGAGGAACTGATCCCATTTTATGAATTTCAAAATACTGTGTAAATACAAATCAAAAATACAAACGAAGAATTAACAAGGTCCGGTCATTTGGTAAATGTAGTATGGCACTTCTTTGAATTATGAACGAGAACATCTCTTAAATATATGCATAAGCTGCCCATGACACTTTCATTAAATCTCAATGCAGGAATTGAGAAAATTTGAATTCACTTTATAAAATTGTATTAAAGAGAATTTTCTGCTTTTAGACATTTCTTTTATTACAAGTAGATCAGATTTTTTTCTTCACAACACTACTATTGTAAATACAGTAAATTGTCTGTAAACCTAGAAAACACAACTGATGATATTTAAATTCATAATATTCATATACACCCCCCCCTCTCAAGGCAGCCCTCAGTTCAAATGGCAATATAATGGCATAAAGCATTTAAAGTCTACCACTTTTATTACCAAGTAGACCCACAGCACCTTTATCAACAAATCAGTTTTTGAGTCAGCAGAATAAGTAAATATTAGAAGAATCCATTTTGTGGCCTACTTTTTTCTCCCACTCTCTGGTATTTAGGGCTATTTAGAACTGTTCGGTGGAGTACCTCAGTTTTTACAGCAGTGTTAGTTTCTTTGGCACAGCTGTTCAGACATCCAGAACATGTGTTTTTTTCTGTTGTCGTTTCTTGTCCAGGAGATATGACACATCCAACCTTTGTTTCTTTGGGGCTTGATCCAGAAGTTTCAATGCAATAGCATTTATGTGTTCTGTTTTTTCTTTTTTCTGTTAAGACAAACACTTCCATTAGATACAGCATGCAAAGATTTCCAATTTCTGACAAAAAAACCTTATAGCAAGAATCAATTTCAAAGCATGAAATTAACAATAACACTCCAAACTTTTAAAACATATGAATAAGCAAATCTTAAATGTGTGTATGTTTTTTTTCTAATAGGCAGAAAGTGGGAGAAATACTGCATCTCAAAATGAAGGGGAAAATAAGAAAGCAGGCCAATGGCCCAAACCCCCCTTGACTTATCTTGGCTCTGTTGTCCTTCAATTTTTAAAAAGAATTTCCTCCCTTTTTAACACACCTTGAAAGTACATGTATATTGCATTTTCCTGATAAATAAATATACCCTTCATTGTGGCCCCACCATACTAACATGGGCCATGATTTGAAATAATAAGAATCTGCATCAGTGATACTTTTTTTATATTAAAATATCATTTCAATGTCATGCTTTTTTTTAACTTCAATTTTTTTTCTTATTAGAGGTGCGCAATATTACCGGTATATCGGTATATTGCGGTAAATCTCATGGCGACAATATATCGCGATATAAAAGTCAGATACCGGTATTTTACGATATATATGAATATATAAAACAATTTTGAATTGTAAGAAAATGTTGAAATAAAGTGTTTTATCTCGTCAACAACACCACAGACATTTTTATTCGTGTCAAATAACAACACCGGATATCCGAAGTTTCACACTAACACAAGGGTCCGGGTATGGTTTGATCTTTGAAATTCCGAAAATCTAGACTCTAAAAATTGACGTTAATTCTATTTACTTTAATGCTTCCATTAATTATCAATAAAATTATATTTATTCACAGGATTATTTTATCAAAGTGTTTAACAACTCTGGTTTCCTGATCTATTTCTCTATATTATGTCATATTTTTGCGGGAAAAGTACGTTTAGGTTTTAGTTTCTAGTGTGTTAAAATGGCCGAAGAGTTCGAGGTTGTGAAGAACTCAAAGGCTACTAAAGCTATCGTTTGGCAAAGCTTTTCACAAATTTTAACGTTTATTTGAATTCTATTTACAGTAAAATGGTCTGTAAGTAGTTGTTGTGTCATATTTTTCTGTTTAAGAGTAAAGAGTTCTTCTAAAATATATCAATTAAGTACAATTTATAAGTTTTTATTCAAATTTAATTTAATAAAAATATATCTGCAATATATCGCAATATATTGCAATATTCGAGTAAAATATTGCAATATATCGCAATATGGTTTTCACCCGCAATACCCAACTCTATTTCTTATGTAAAATATCATTTGTCTATTTAGCTACACACTACCTAATCATTTTAAACCTTGAATCAGCTTTACCTATGGATACTTATATTATCAATATATCTTGTCATTGCCAAATCATTTTGATTTAATTTTTAGATCCCCATTATACCTTCATATCACTTGTCATGGCATCTCATTATTCTAGAGATTTTACTTTTAGATTCCCCCAGGCTCTATAGGTTCTTAAGTAAACTAGATATCAAGTCCTCTACTGGGTGACCGCAAAGTTCCATCTTTTCTGACCCCTCCTGATTGTCTTTTCTTGTTATTCTCCCCTTGAAGAGAGCATTCTCTTTGATTTGAATGCCCTATTATTCCTTCCATTTCAAGATACTAAATATGGTTGAAATTAGTTGAAATTTACCGAGTGTTTCTATAGGAAGAGATGAAAATTTGAAAATTTAACACAGACAACAGACAAATTTTGGTTAGAAAAGCTGACCTGCTTGTTTGGCTCAGATAAGCTAAAAGGATTTGATAACTCAGAAAGGAGTCTAATAAAGAGTACCTTCTCCTCCTCTATTTTGACCATCATTTCTCTCTGTTCTTCTGTTTTAGCACTGTCTTGTAAATGCTCCTTTATTGTTTTCTTGCGTTTGGGAATCTCCGATTGTGAACGCTCCTCCCACGAAGTCTTACGTCTGTATTGCTCTGGTACTTCGTGGGGCTAAAACAAGGACATAAAAAATAACTATAGGTATCTACACAAATATAGATGTTTTCTTTAGGAATATCTAGTGGCATCCTGTACAACTTATTTTTTTTAACTAGAGAGATAATATTTTTAATAGACAGTGCAATATTTTTTAGTGGAAAGAGACTTACAGAGTATGTCCTTTTTGGATTCAGTCTCTTCTCATACTTGTCAAAACAGTAGGACTTTGTATTGATGACATACCTGTAATTTAAGATACCTAATGAAAACTTATACAGAAATGGCAAATGAAAATTACACGCAAACAAACCAATGTCTGATGTAAAAAATTAAAAATAGTAGATCTGTTCACAGAAATCAGAAAAAAATAATTTATCTTTATTGGTAAAACAGAAAAAACAATGATTCAACATAGTTAAGATGTCTGACTCACGGGTGTTTAGATATTTTATAGAAGAGATGAGCAGTTTTGTCCATTCTGTATTCACAGATAAAAATATCCTGTTCACGGGTTCCTTTGGGACGTCCCTTACAGAAAGTATTCAAATCCATCACACAACTGCTCCCAACAATGGCATCAAAAGGGATGATTTCATAAATAGGCATTCTGAACACCTGAAAATAAACCGATATACTAAATACCCTAACGTGACATAAATTGAAATTGTCCATTCTGTTTAAAGAGCACTTCCATTTATTAAACTGCTTTTTATCAACAATTCATTTTTGAACAATCTTGATTCTAAGAACAAAGAATAACCTCATTGGGAAAGAATTTTCTGGACGGTTCATGGAATGTCTCATGAGGTCTGTAGTAGTTATGACCAAAGGCAAAGTTTCTACCACTGAAAGAGAAAAATGGAAGTAAATTCAGGCTTACTCTAACAATAAATTACTTCCCTCGCCCTCCAAAAAGAGAATGTCTTATCTATGTGGTACAATGTCTATGGTTTAAATTTTTTCTCCTTATTAGCTTACTTTTCATCTTTCCACAAACGTTCAATGCGGAAGATATCAAGCTTATCCTGTCCTATCTCGGAGATGACTCTGTATGAAGTTTTGACAGAATCAATAGGAATGCGGTCCTCTGGTTTGGGCACCTCTCGTAACACATACACACAGTCTCCTACACGAATCTGGATGTCATCCCTCATCAGAGTCATGTAATACGTCCAGCCATCTGTAGCATCATCCGGTTGAGGGTCAGCCAGTATCTCCTATTCATACAAGAAACATATCATTCTTCATTTACTTTTTGGATTTTCACACTTAATTAAAATAGCCCTAAGCATATGAACTCAAAATTGCACACAAAACAGAGAATGCAGAGATATGAATTCCTTTATTTAAAAAACGTATAATATCTGTCATAAAGTTATCAGTTTTGCTGGGAGGATAGACTTACTTTTTCAACAGATCTGGGCTGACAAAGCTCACACAGATAGTTCTCCACCTCTCCCTTGACCTTCATACAGTCACAATGCTGCCAGATCTACAAAACATAGCAAAATAGTCTTACAAACATGTCAATGTTTATATTCTAAAAACATACAATAAATCAGAACCAAAACTCAAAATATATTAACAGTGTACAGTAGATATTCTTCAAAACTTGGGAACTTACAAAGCACTTTTCACACTGGATCATCAGACCCTCATCTCGAAAAATTCCACAAACGCATCGAATTACTTCTTCTTCTTCCTCTTCATGTCCTTCTGTAACCATTATTAAAATATCTTCATTATCTTTTTTTCCTTAGACACATACAATCTTAGTGAAAATCATTTCAATATTATGGACATTTCGCCAGTCCTGATCCCAGAACTGCTCTCACCTATGGTTTCTGTCTCTGTGGTTTCCTTCTCCATGGACTGAAGACTTCCTTCTCCCAGAATGTCTTCCAGTATGGGGGAAGCCTCGGCTTTGGCCGTGACGTACACCTTACGGAGCTCTGCCACCAGCTGACCCATCCACGAGGACCGACCACTGTACCTCTGTACAAACAGACAAAGTCAACATATTGAATAAGTTGGGAGACAAAAATGCTACATACAAGTGATAGTGAAATATTTTAAATACATAAAGAAAGAAAAGGATCACTTCATTATAAATAGAGATTTGTCCTATACGACCGGTGTAGCATAATATTTTGATGCCGCGATATATTGAACCCAGGTTCAATATATCGCATAATATTTTGAACCCGGGTTCACTTTTTCGCTGCGATATATTGAACCCCCTTATAATATATTGAACCCCTACCTTTTTCATAAAAGAGAGAGGGGGTTCAAAATATTATGGTCATAAAATATTGAGTCCCCCTGCCCATTTAATGTAAGAGGGAGGGGGTTCAAAATATTATGGCCATAATATATTGAGTCCCCCTGCCCATTTAATGTAAAAGGGAGGGGGTTCAAAATATTATGGCCATAAAATATGGAGTCCCCCTGCCCTTTTAATGTAAGAGGGAGGGGGTTCAAAATATTATGGCCATAAAATATCGAGTCCCCTGCCCTTAAATTTATCAAGGAGGGGGTTCAAAATATTATGGCCATAATATATTCAATCCCCATGTTCTTTAAAGATAACAGGGAGGGGGTTCAAAATATTATGGCCATAAAATATTGAGTCCCCTTGCCCTATTAATTTATCAGGGAGGGGGTTCAAAATATTATGGCCATAAAATATCGAGTCCCCCTGCCCTTTTAATGTAAGAGGGAGGGGGTTCAAAATATTATGGCCATAATATATTGAACCCCCATGTTCTTTAAAGATAACATGGAGGGGGTTCAAAATATTATGACCATAAAATATCGAGTCCCCCTGCCCATTTAATGTAAAAGGGAGGGGGTTCAAAATATTATGGCCATAATATATTGAACCCCCATGTTCTTTAAAAATAACACAGAGGGGGTTCAAAATATTATGGCCATAAAATATCGAGTCCCCCCTGCCCATTTAATGTAAAAGGGAGGGGGTTCAAAATATTATGGCCATAATATATTGAACCCCCATGTTCTTTAAAGATAACAGGGAGGGAATTCAAAATATTATGGCCATAAAATATCGAGTCCCCCCTGCCCTTTTAATGTAAGAGGGAGGGGGTTCAAAATATTATGGCCATAAAATATCGAGTCCCCCTGCCCTTTTAATGAAAGAGGGAGGGGGTTCAAAATATTATGGCCATAATATATTGAACCCCCATGTTCTTTAAAGATAACAAAGAGGGGGTTCAAAATATTATGGCCATAAAATATTGAGTCCCCCTGCCCAAACAATTTGTCAACGAGGGGGTTTAGAATTTTATGGCCATAATATATTGAACCCCCATATTCTTTAAAGATAACAAGGAGGGGGTTCAAAATATTATGGCCATAAAATATCAAGTCCCCCTGCCCATTTAATGTAAGAGGGAGGGGGTTCAAAATATTATGGCCATTATATATTGAACCCCCATGTTCTTTAAAGATAACATAGAGGGGGTTCAAAATATTATGGCCGTGAAATATCGAGTCCCCCTGCCCATTTAATGTAAAGGGGAGGGGGTTCAAAATATTATGGCCATAAAATATTGAGTCCCCCTGCCCTAACAATTTGTCAAGGAGGGGGTTCAGAATATTATGGCCATAATATATTGAACCCCCATGTTCTTTAAAGATAACAAGGAGGGGGTTCAAAATATTGTGGCCATAAAATATCGAGTCTCTCTGCCCATTTAATGTACAAGGGAGGGGGTTCAAAATATTATGGCCATAATATATTGAACCCCCATGTTCTTTAAAGATAACAGGGAGGGGGTTCAAAATATTATGGCCATAAAATATCAAGTTCCCCTGCCCATCTAATGTAAGAGGGAGGGGGTTCAAAATATTATGGCCATAAAATATTGAGTCTCCAAGCCCTATTATTTTATCAAGGAGGGGGTTCAAAATATTATGGCCATAAAATATCAAATCATCCTGCCCTATTAATTTATCAGGGAGGGAGTTCAAATATTATGGCCATAAAATATCGAATCATCCTGCCCTATTAAGTTAAGAGGGAGGGGGTTCGAAATATTATGGCCATAAACTATTGAACCCCCATGTCCTATTAAGTTAAGAGGCAGGGGGGTTCAAAATATTATGGCCATTAAACATTGAGTCCCCCTGCCCTTAAAATTTAAGAGGGAGGGGGTTCAAAATATTATGGCCATAATATATTGAGTCCCCCTGTCCTTTTAAGTTAAGAGGGAGGGTGATTCCCCCTGTCCTTTTAAGTTAAGAGGGAGGGTGATTCAAAATATTATGGCCAGAAAATATTGAGCCCCCATGTCCTTTTTAGTTAAGAGGGCGGGGGGCTAATGCGAAGTTATTTAATGTGCAGTAAACTAATTTGAATTAAACTAAATCGCATTAAATTCTTTGTGTGAACACTAAGCAAAGCTAATTCGTAGAAACTTTATTTTTGATTCTAATTTCTTTCTGTGTGAACAGGGCATTAGAATTCCATAGGTTTTTATTTCCCAGTTGCTCTCTCCCTTCATAAAACACCAAATATTCCAGTTATACTTTATGGGATAAACTAATGAATCTCACAATATTTCCTTAGTCGGATAAATAGTGGATATACTGTTGAAGCACAAATTTTCGTGGGGATAAAATTTTGTTGATTTGTTATCAAAAATAGTTTCGTGAGCATTTAATTGCATTGTTTAGAGAGTTAGCCTATTCATTATATATTATGGCCATAATATTTTGAACCCCACCCCCTTATAAATTAAAAGGGCAGGGGGGATTCAATATTTTATGGCCATAATATTTTGAACCCCCTCCCTCTTAACTAAAAAGGACAAGGGGACTCAATATATTATGGCCATAATATTTTGAACCCCCTCCCTTATAAACTAAAAGGGCAGGGGGGATTCAATATTTTATGGCCATAATATTTTGAACCCCCTCCTTTATAAATTAAAAGGGCAGGGGGATTCAATATTTTATGGCCATAATATTCTGAACCCCTCCTTGACAAATTGTTAGGGCAGGGGGACTCGATATTTTATCGCCATAATATTTTGAACCCCTCCCTTATATATTACAAGAGGCCCACGGGCCTTATAGGTCACCTGAGTATTGTGCAACAACTTTCAAACAATTAAATTTGGTTCATGTTTTAAACAAGAGGCCATGGAATTCACAATTTTGAAAGAGGTACCATTGCTTATAATAATTATAGACTTAGCATGCTTACTCTATTTACTTAATACCCAGAGGTAGATCAGAGTAACATTAAGAGAAAATGCACTTCCACTTTATAACCAGTTGTACACCTCATCCCAAAGGAACCACTGATCCTGGGGCCACATATTTCAAAATTTTGCAAATTTTATGATAAAATGGTTGATTAACACCAAAGAGCAAATTTCAAAGCATTAATTTATTTTCAGACTTTCTACCCCCCCCCTTCACCCCCACCCAGGGAAGGGGCGGGGGGCATAAAAAATAACCATTTTGCTAGGTGCATTTTTCTTCATCATGAATATATATATTTGGATCATTGGCATAAAACACAGGAGCAAAGGAAAGAATTTCAAAGAATAAATGCATTTTCACTATATAACCAATAGAGCCCCGCCCTAACACCGGAACCCCTGACCCTGGGGTAATAAAATTCACAATTTTGGATGAGGCACTCTTGATCAACATAACTATTTAATTACATAGTTTATTTAATACCCAGAAGCAGAGAAGAAGATTTCCAAAGAATAAATGCATTTTCACTATATAATCAATAGGGCCCCGCCCTAACACCTAAACCCCTAACCCTGGGGTCACAAAATTCACAATTTTGAAAGAGGCACTCTTGCTCATCATAACTATGTGCTTGGTTAGTTTATTTAATACCTAGGAGCAGAGAAGAAGATTTCCAAAGAATAAATGCATTTTCACTATATAATCAATAGGGCCCCACCCTAACAACTAAACCCCTGACCCTGGGACCATAAAATTCACAATTTTGGAAGAGGTACTCTTGCTCATCATAGCTATGTACTTAGTTAGTTTATTTAATACCCAGAAGTAGAGAAGAAGATTTTCAAAGAATAAATGCATTTTCACTATATAACCAATAGAGCCCCGCCCTAACACCAGAACCCTTGACCCTGGGTCCATAAAATTCACCATTTTGGAAGAAGTATTCTTGTTCATCATAACTATGTGATTAGTTAGTTTATTTAATACCCAGAAGTAGAGAAGAAGATTTTCAAAGAATAAATGCATTTTCACTATATGACCAATAGAGCCCCGCCCTAACACCAGAACCCCTGACCCTGGGGTCATAAAATTCACAATTTTGGAAGAGGCACTCTTGCTCATCATAACTATGTGCTTGGTTTGTTTATTTAATACCCAGGAGCAGAGAAGAAGATTTTCAAAGAATAAATGCATTTTCACTATATAATCTATATAGCCCCGCCCTAACACTAGAACCCCTGACCCTGGGGCCATGAATTTCACAATTTAAGTAGAGGACTCAATGCTCATTACATTCATGCCAACAGTTTGCCTGCTTGATGTCCAGGAGTAAAGAAGAAGATTTTTAAAGATTGCACTAATTTTAGTGGTTTTTGCCCCACCCCCCAGGCCCCAGGGGGGCAGGGACCATGAAATTCACAATTTTTGTTCCCCTTCACCCATAGATGCTGTATACCAAATTTGGTTGAAATTGGTTTAGTGGTTTCAGAGAAGAAGGTGAAAATGTTCAAATGTTAACACATGACGCACGACGCACGACACACGACGACGGACGAAAACGGATAGCAATAGGTCACCTGAGTTACTCAGGTGACCTAAAAAGGGCAGGGGGGACTCAATATTTTATGGCCATAATATTTTGAACCCCCTACCTCTTAAATCAAACGGGCAGGGGAATTGATATTTTATGGCCATAATATTTTGAACCCCACCCCCTTATAAATTAAAAGGGCAGGGGGGATTCAATATTTTATGGCCATAAT